TGCGTTCCTCATCAGAATGGTTTGTCGACCAACAGCCTGTCTTCTTACAGATGAAGCATCTTTTGCTTGTGTTCGTACGGGTAGGTTTTCCTTGGGATATGTTCCCTTGGTCTTGTCTTTCGTACGTCTGTCCTTGAGGTCTTCGGTAGGGTTGTTGCTTATGTCTGCTTCTCTGGTTGGAATTATACCGCCTATCGACAAAGTTAATGTCGTACGATATTGTCTTCCTATCGATTGCAACTTGTAGCGAGGCTCGTAAGTTAGAGAATAGCTCCTCACATGTCTGGTCAGACTTGTGATTACTGAGGGCGTTCTCTAGCTCTGGTACGCCTCGGCATGCCTGGATAACTTGCGTGCGAAGCATAATTTCTCCTTGGAATCCTGTACCTAGTGCTCGTTGTACGAGAGATAACTTATCAAATAATGCTTCGAGGACCTCGATCGGTTTCTTGTCTGGTTCCTCACGTTTAACTCGTACGAAAGATAATGTTGTCCAATCTGTATAGTAGAGATTGTGGTTGATGTCTGTATTGAAATGTGCATCTAGCATCTTGTAAATCTCGTCCCACCTCTTTGTTGGCCCGATATGGTGGAGGTAGAATTCCTCCGCACGATCGGCTAAGATGTCTGGAAACACGGCATGGTATTGGTCCTCTGTTATTCGCAATCGTCTGCAGAAGCTGATGAAAATCTTGGCCTTGTCATACAGGATATCGTACGGTTTGCCAGTATAGTTCCTCTCTTTCTTCCATCCCTTCTGAAAGACCGCAATCGTGCTTGGTTCGCACGGTCCATTCTGGACTATGCGTCGTGGTGGAAGATCGTAAATACTGTTTGCTGTATAGATACTTGTTGTACGGTCCTGTATCTGTGGGAAGCTCTCGATCTCCTGGGTATATCTTGCCCCTGGGGGTAGATTCTGTGTGCTTGATTGATCTCGAGTATTTGACTTCCTGCTTGCTCGTTCGGTATCGTACGAAGGTTCGATTGACTCTATCGCTGGTTCAGCTAAAGTCTGACGTGTAGTTGTCTCTGGGGTTCGGACCGGTGTGCGTGTAATAATGTTCGTACGGCTTGATGTTCTTGTCTGGGAATTATCCCGGTCGTCCGTAGAATCGAATCCTTTTGCTATGTCTGAGACTATATCGACTAATTGTTCTGAAACCGTCCTTGATTTAGGTAGTTGAAAGCCTTTTAGTTTAAGTAGTCGTGCGAACTCGGTTTTGTACGTCCGGTTAACTAAGTCCCATTGGTATGGCGACCATTGATGGAAGTCCTCGTACAATTTCGTAGTAAGTACTTCCTGTGGAGGGTCTAGGTGTATGATTTCCATCATTACGTAGCCGACGTATGTTGTTAATTGTTTCTCCGAAGGTCCTGTTTCGATATCGACTAAGTCTCCCCAGTATTTCGGATCTGTAGACTTCTTCCATATACTAATAGGAATAGTACTCTTTGCACTCATGTCTTCGTACGTGACCTCATAGTCATTTTCCTCCTCCTGGAGGAGGTCTTGCTGTACGATATCAGGTTCTCCTGATGTCGTCATGTTGGCAACCGTTTCGTATCGTACGGTATCTAGTTGGATGGTTGTTGAAATGTGCCGTTGCGCACACTATTTGCTAAAGTATTGCACGATAGGATTCTTGTCCGGTTACGACTCACCGCAGCGACAACAAGAATCTGTCTCGTACGATATTATAACAAACCGTCTTCTCAGGCTAGTTGTCCGGTTACGACTCACCGCAGCGACAACAACTAGGCTAAGGCTCTTAGCACAAGAGATTTCCTAGCGTGACCCCTTAGGTATTCTTTCGAATTTCTCGCCTCGTACTTGCGTACGAGACTACCCGGTAGCCCGGCCGTAAAACCTCGATCTTGTCTCTTCACTCTTGCTAATCTGTGATCGCACGATGCAATCACTCGTGACTGCCAAGCAAACACTGATCAGTGTTGAATGGGCTCTCTGTACGATCGTACTGTCATAAATGTAGGGTGAACCAAAGATTCTATTTTCCGTGATTACCTTTCCTAACTAGATGTTGCCTTCCGTACGAACAGATATATCTCTGTCCATACCTAGACACGAGTCGTGCATGACAGGTAATAAACCATGATCCCTTCCTCAGACATTTAGGTGTTACAGGTGCTAGTCATGCCACCTATACACCCCTTTGCCTGTGACAGCCTTGTCGTACGGTCATGTGATTATCGTTATTCCAACAAAGGGCATATTTCCTTGAAATAATTAATACCTCAAATCCACCTTGTGCGATTCGAACTTTTAATAATCAACAAATCCTACATTAGGTTCCATTTTACTCCACGGACATGGTTTGCTATTCGCCCGTTCGACCATGGACTGGCACCATCCCTACACTGGGAAACTTCCATGACTCATGAGGGTTTCAACTGTACCTCTCCTTGAAACCCCATGAGCAGATTGATAGATTGTCCGTGCATTTTTTTCTTCTCTCGTATTTAGCTCTATTTCGGGGTAACCAGGCCACTCAGTCGGATGGGGGGAAGGGGGCTTGGGCGTCTAAGAACCAATCAAGGAGAGATTCCACATTATTGTTTCCCAAAAATCACAAGCGGCCTACATATCAGGAGACTCGTAATGCTTAGAGGTCGCTTTTCTATAGTGTATCGGCCGTCTGCTAATTTCCGACAGTTGCCGGTATATAAGGTAACCATCACAGGGGTTATTCTCTCCCGTTCCTCATGTCACCTAAACCAAACCTAACCTTTGATAAATCAATACAAAGCACTTGATCTATCCTCCCTTTGTATCTAATACTAAATAAGCACGATATCCCTGTTATGATTATCCTGTATATATGAACAATACACCCTGAATAGAAAGTTTGTCCTAGATAGACACACACCATAGTTAATAATAACATGGAAAGCTTTTTCATAGTCATAATAGCAAGCTTTTTGTCAATAGTATAAAAGCATGCAGAATATAAGCTATAGTATATAGTCTTCGTTATCAAAGCAAGCAGTCGAGCACATAAGACGTATCGCAGACAAACCGTATCCAAATCAAATATCGCAGCAGTTAAATTCAAACTAATCAGTAACTTAATAGCGGATTGTTTAGTATGCCATGTATGAAAGCGACGCTGCCGCTGACGTGACATTATGCAATGTACACAAATCGGTTTTGCCAATGGTGGTTCAGTTCTTAGACAGCAACAGCCGCGCTTTGGTGGCTTTGCCATTGTTATTATTATTTGGCAAGCACGCAGGAGTATAAACAACACGAGATCAATAGATAAATATCACCTTCAGTAAGTAAGCCGTTTTCGTCGTTTTTAGTTAGTCGGCTAGCGTAAAAAAAAAAAAAAAAAAAAAAACCTTAGGCCCAGCACCTGCCACTATCTCCTTACCAAACCAATCTCATCCAGACTTCCGTCTCGCAATCCTACCTGGCAGCATCGAACTATTTCACTATATCACACATCACGAACCACAACCAAATCAATAACCCTTCTACACTGCTACCCACCACAAAAAACCTGCTATCATACATCTCGTCAGCAAGATGTGTCCTAATGAGCGCCCCTGGTCCCAGAGCGAGGAAGATCAGCCTCCCATGGATGAAAACACCAACGAAGCCGACACGTTCGATGATCCTACCGAGTCCGAGATTGCGGCAGACACTGCCGAACAAGACGCATTTGTAAGCATTACCCGAATCTCGATAGCAATCCCTCAGATGACTAATGCGAAGATGTATTCCCAGAATGCCTTCGTTAACACTATCGCCGAACTCCTTAGCCTCGGTTTCAGCGACCAACAAATTATGCGCGTGTTTGCCGAATGTGAGTCTCCTTAGCTGCGAACTACTAGGGTTGGGTAATACCCGCGGGTACCCGTATGGGTAGTACCCAAAACTACCCGTGGGTAGTTTGGGTAAACCCGAATTACCCACGGGCAGTCCCACTATATTTACCCGCGGGTTGAAAGGCCCGTGGGTAAAACGACCCATGGGTTACACTACCCACGGGTAATTTTGCTACCCACAAGAAACGCGGGAAATACTGTAACTAAGATAGAAAGAAAATATAACTAGTTAGTTATAGGGAGAAAGAGTAAGTTACATAAAACATAGATGGCTAGAATAGATTACTACAAATATAAGAAACTAATAGAGAATAATACGATAAAGTCGGAGTGAAATCAGAGGAACAATGTATATTTAATCGCTATCCTCGTCAGGAGAGAGTTCGACAAGATCTAGCCGAGTAAGTCTCTTCCTTTTGCGACCCCCAAGCTCGGAGAAGTTTGGGAGTTCTTGGGATACAGAAGGCGTAGGTGAGTTGCTAAGTTGGGAAACTTGACTCGATAGTTTTGGCTGTTGAGAGCTAGATAAGGATGGCAGCTCCTCATCTCTATCGCTAATATCCTTCTCTTCTACTGAGACTTCGTAAGGAGGCGGGGAGGGAGCATCTCCTATAGCAGTAATAGAGATCTTAGTAAGATCATCAGAGACCTTCAGATATCTCTGAATATCAGCTTTATCCAATAGAGAAGAGTAGTTAAAAGCTTCTCTAATAATATGCTGGCGCTCTTCAGATGCTTCAGTGATATTCGTGTCATCTGGAACTTCCTCAAGTGTGGTTTGGGAAAGCCAGGCCTCATTATTCTGGCTAATTTTGATAGTCAAAGTATCAAAAATAGTATCAGCCGAAAGGTTGAACCGAGCGTAGTGACAGATATGGCGAGCAAGGCTGAATGATCGCTCTAAGGGTATTGACGTCGGTTGAATAGATAAGAAGTCTCGAGCCATGCGACAAATACCATGGAATCTGGGATAGCTATTGTCTAGGCGGACCCAAAATTGCTGAACAGTTTCATCAGGGAACATAACTAAATATAGTTATTAGCTGTTAAGCCTAGTAAGATATGAGTCTTTATCTTACCAATATTAAAAAAGTCATTACAGATATTTCGTGCGTCTTGGGATGATGACATTTTGCCCTTATAATAGGTTAGTACAGTGAGTTGCTACAATAGATTGCTACAAATACCCTTTTCTTTGAACTGCGTGATAGTAAACTATGCAGAGTGTATCGGAGTCCTTCAGTTGCAGCTTTTTGAGTATTGGTATGGCGTTCCGAATCTTGATGGTACTGCTTTGTATATACCTCGATAAATTCTTGCTGTACTCGAGTTCGAAGTGAGGCTGAAGAAGGAAGGTATTCGAAGTAATTTGCGAATTGGAATCGCGTGTCAAAAGTACTCGAAACTGATGTCCCAGCTTCAGGGGTAAGGAGAGTTGCAATACCATATACCTTGAAGGAATCCTCTTCAATTAGCTTTTGAACGTATTTTTCCAGCTTCTCTTGGCCCTTTTTCGTAGCAGCCTGAAGGATTGATATCCAAGTAAAGTCTTTGCTAGTAACTTTATCTTTAAGTGCAGAGGCGCAAAAGTACAAGTAAACTGTTGCAACTTGTAATAAAGTAAAGGTATGACCAGGGGTAAGGTCATTTAACCGGCTGAGGATGTTTGTAAAGAGTAAAAACGGGCTGGTGATATCAAGCAGAATATCAAGAGCCTCCCAATCGGTCTCCACAAGAGAGAATTGTTCCTGTAGAGAGTGCTTTTCAACCCAAGCTGAAATCGTTGTTTTAAGCTCTCTTGCGCGGAGACACATAAGTGTAGTAGAGTTCCACCTTGTCTTAACATCGCGGAGGAGGCGTAGTGGTCGCTGGCCAATGCGAGTCGATTTCTGGAGGTCGAGAAACTCTTGCGTCTTCTTACTAGAAAGCTTAAGGGAAACTGCGAGGTCACGAATCTGGAGGTATATATGTTAATATAAAATCTTATAACTAGGTGAAGTATCTAACCTTTTGAATAACAGCTCCAAAAGGATTTTCCCCAGCAGTAGAATCTTCAGTATCAAAATCATCGTCAGAGTCCTCTTGATCTTTAGCTCGAGTAGTAGAAGGCTCAAACTCTGTAGAGGCTTCTACCATCGAAATTCGAAGAGCCTCAAAAATCGCTCGAACAACAAGGTTGAAAATATGGGCTAAACAGCGAATATGATATATCGGCTGTACTGTGGATGTCGACCCTTTTGCAAGTTCTTGTGCTAGGACTTTTGGCTTAAAAGAACTTGCGTTGTCTGCAGAGACTGTCTGAAATCGAATTGTCTTCTTCGTCCTCTGGCGAATATTTTCTAACAGAGTCGATAAAGCCGTTGCTTGCTTAGAGGCTGTATGACCATCTGTCATATCAATAGCACCAAGAAGAACCTGTTGTAACCTCCAGTGCTTGTCGATAAAATGGCATAAAACACCAAGCAGTGAATATTTTAACCCAGGTGTACTCCAGATATCAATCATCAGAGAGACATAGCTACCAGGCGGAATTAGCTGAAGAGTGTGGTGTTGAATGCGTAAGGCCTCCTCGGATATCCAGCTTCGGAGCGTCTTTCGAGATGGGAGGTGGTAGAGAGGATTCAGGTGTGAACAGAATTGCCGGAAACTTAAGTTGTCAACAGTATTAAGCGCTAAGTTGGATCCAACAATACAGTAAACTAATGCTTGATGCTCCGAGACTGCTTTCAATTAGGTACCCTAGATTGCGATTACTACAAATGATTGCTACAATGACCTGTAAAACTTACAGGCACCTGGTTTACGCCTAAACGTCGAGTCTTACAAGACTTTGCAGCGAGGTGTCGTTGCATAGCACTTGTACCAGAGTTTTTGATTGTTGGATGATTGAAAACTTGGTGACAGTGCTTGCAGACTAATTTTGGCTCCCCTGATGTCATATGGTAGCCTTGGTGAAAGTGATCCCAGAATGATACTCGGCGTTGTAAAGTCCACAAGGATTTGGCGAAGCGTTTTCGTTTAGGTTGAGGGGATTTGGACAACGGTGTGTGTTTGCCAAGGATTACCCATTGGAGATACCATGGCAGGGTTTTGAAAAACGAGAGAAAAGTCTGGAAAGTCTCAATAACAAATAAAATGATTTCCGACTGTATCTGTAAACCAGAAGGTGGAGTATTGATTGTTGGAGTCTGCGTAGAATTTACGAGCTCGAAAGCAGCAGAACAATCGGATGCAAAAGGGTCTGGCCCAAAAGGGTCAGACGCAATTAAGTTCGACATCATACATAGTAAGAATTACCTTTGGTATGAACAGGAAGTAGTTTGCAGGATTACTACAAGATGAATACAAACATTTGATTATGTGGCCTTACGTAAATTTCTATTTTAGGGTTTCTGACTAATACGTTTCGTACACAAATCTAAAAGCTCTGAATTCTCCTTCGACTTGTTTTTTCTCCCACTTACATTCATCCTTCAATGCCTCGCTTATCAACTAGCCCTGTGTCAGATCAGAGCTCTCCGCTAACAGTGGAGGGCTCTTCACCGCCAAATAGTTACCCCTCATCATCAGCGAGGGGTAATCCCCTGAAACAGCCAATTACAGAGATTCGGGAGACTCCGCCAAGAAGTTCAAGTCATGCAACCTACTATAGCCAGGCTAGCCCAGACCTGAGTCAACCAGAATTACCACCGCTGAAGCGGAACTTTGCGACGAAGTTGGCGAGACGAACAGATACTGGCCAACCACCAACCATTGCACGGAAAGATCAGCTGAACTTCGCGCCAAAGAAGCAGCTAAAAGCTGCTCGAAAAAAGCCCGTCCAGATCACTAAACGCCAGAAAGTTCGTAGATGGAGGCCTGGTAGTAAGTAAGAAGTAACTCTTTATTGTTTAATTACTGAAATGTGAAGCAAATGCACTTCGTGAGATTCGAAAATATCAAAAGACTACCAATCTTTTAATTCCGCGGAGCAGTTTCGCAAGAGTAGTTCGAGAAATAACACTTGATCTTCCACTAAGAAACCGCCATAAGATCCGCTACCAGTCAATGGCTATAGAGGCTCTCCATGAGATGAGCGAACAGTTTCTAATCAACATGTTCGAGAGTAAGATATCCTATCCTGATCTTCAAACTATTATATTAACATGAATATTAATAGATGCAAATCTCTGTGCTATTCACGCTAAAAGAGTAACTTTGCAGAAGAAAGATCTTGACTTAGTTAAACAGTTAATGAAGAAGATGGGAGCATGGAGTGCTAGATTGTTTTAGCAGCTGTAGATTACTACAAACGATTGCTACAATACGAGAATCAGACTAGAGAGAATTCATGTCCTTATTCATGCTAGCCTTATTGCTAATTCTTAATTCTTAATCTGTCAAACAAACCCTCTCGCTATGCTCATCTGCAATTATAGAGAAAAGTCAAGCAAACGAGTTAGCTTCTGAGCCAACTCATAGACCTGACGCCAGTTGTATGGCGCTTTATCCCGAGCAAGGTCAAGCTTCAGGAAGAATGGTATCAGCTTTAGTATAGCTGAGAACTTCTTATCCATCGCAGATAAGATGTTGGCTGTTTTATCGAGAGCAGTAAACTCTTCCCAAACTTCAGCAGGGCCCAGAAGCTCCCAAACACCTTTCTTGATCATCGAGTCACTGATCTCAGAGAACATAGCCTTCACTGAAGGCTTTGGAGTGGAGGCATATCGGCGCTGAGCTGTAGTGAAGAGAGATCCTTGAATCTTGATGGCTGGGCGGTGCGCGAGTGCGAATTGGCTGAGAATATTAGTATTACTACAAAGGATTGCTACAATTAAGCACTTACGTCTTCTTCTTCTTGACAGAAGAATTAAGAACCAGGCGTATCTTCTTCTTCTTAGACAAGCGGTTCAGGTGCCAGTACTTGGCGAGTGCAAACCAAAGAAGCACTTCCTGTTTGGTGAAGATGTCGCCAGCTACTGGAAATTTAAAGCCAGGTCGAATGAAGCCATAATCCTCCATCGCAGCTAGGGTAAAGGCAGGATTGCTGTTCAGCCGCTTGACCTTGATGTAAAGTATCTCAAGAGTCATCTCCCAGGTATCACGGAAGAACTGGTATTCTCGGATCTGGTTTTCCTGTCTGTTTGTTAGCTATTGCTATAGTAATTAATTATAGTCATCCAGTTACCTGGATCATCTTGTCGATAATCGCATTCGACTGCTCAGCAACATTAATAGTCGGCAACTGGTTATCAAGGTCAACGTCAAAGTTGAGCATGCCCTCAACTCCATCCAGGTTTTCCTAGGTAGCCTCATCAATCTCATTCAAAGGGATATCCTCCCAAGCCTCGTCTTCATCGTCATCGACGATATTATAGGAGCTAGACGAGACTGGGCCAGTCATCTGAGCTAGCAGCTGGTCTGGATGGTTGCCTTTGAGGAAGCTAAAAGCACTTGAGCACTGATTTGAAACACCAAAAGAAATAAAAAAGAACTCACTATCGTGCATCAACTTGCTGGATTTCCCTAGCCTCAAGGGCCGCGCGCTCATCAGCAGACGCAATGATGTAGGAGCTTTTAGCCCTCAAGGCTTTAAGCTTGCGGGATTTCTGCTGGTTGATCGACTTCTTCGAGCGATCAAGTGCCTTCTGCTTCTCAGTCATCTTATCGATGCGCTGACGAGACTTCTTGGTGTGCGCGTTGTCGGAATAATCCTCTTCAGCTTTACGCTTGGCTCCAGCACCAGATCCAAGCGGTCGGCCTAGAAGAGATTAGTACAAATGATTGCTACAAAGCTGGTGTGAACGTACCGCGATCCTGTCCTGAGGACATATTTTACTACTGTTCCCTAATTGATTTAATAAGTCAAAACTAATAATTGTGAGATCAAAGTATCAAATTACCTTAATTAAGAGGCTTGTCGGTGCGGCTGGGTGTTAGTAGTGGAGGTAGGTTGTAGTGCTGTCTGGGGAGAAGTTTTCTGAAGCTTCAGAACCTCACAAAAAAAAAACAAAATACGCCAAAAAGTGGTCTGTGCGCAGCCGCGGCTTCTTGTTTTTTTTCTCAAAAAGAATCTCTTTGAAAACCTCTGTTCAGTAGTTATCTGTAAAAGATTCTATATTGATTGGACCTGGACTTGTGTTTCTAGGAGTCCTACCTGATTCATGGTTAACTTTATAATATGATGCCTGGCATAGCCCGAAAGACTATGCCTGGTGCTAAGGAGCAGCAGAAACGCCGTTGGCGCCCTGGCAGTAAGTCTAGATTGCTACAAAAGATGGCTACACACTAACCCTAATACCTAGCAAAAGCTCTCCGGGAGGTCAGGAACTACCAGAAGACATTTGACTTCCTGATTCCGAAGCCCCCATTCCAGCGACTCTGGAAGGAAATCTGCGATGACATCGACCCCTCCAAGCGCCTGCGCTGGCAGGCGACTGCTATTAGCGCTCTTCAAGAGTCTTCGGAGTCTCTTCTCTTTGGTGTTTTCGACAGTAAGCTTCACTTGCAAACTCTTATCGAGTTGAACGAACTATCTAGTGATTAACTTTGCTGCGATCCACACCAATCGCGTCACCATTAAGCCGAAGGATCTGCATCTCGTCCAGGCTATCTTGAAGGCCGGCAGAGTCCACGGAGACAAGTGGTTCGACCCCGAGTCTGGGAAATGCGGGCGATTAATTGAAGGCATTCAGGGCGTTCGGAAGTTAGGAGTAACAAGGTAGCAGGTCTATTCGTTGCGCAATATATCCACTCTTGAGGCTGGCTACTACAAAAGATGTCTAAAATTCGTGATGCATACTTACTGAAATCTACCTACGGGTATACACCCGTGGGTACCCAAACCCGTGGGCCCCCCTTCAGTTTACTACCCGTGGGCTTTTTTACCCAAACCCACTTTACCCATGGGTACCCGTGGGTAATAGTAAAACTTTCGGGCACTACCCATAACTACCCGACCCATTTCGCGGGTACCCGTGGGACCCGCGGGCCGGGTAATGCCCATGCCTATGTCGTTTAACTTGCCACTGAGGCCCAAGAAAAATAATACCGTGATTGGAGTACTGGATTTTGATTGTTTGCTTTAAAAACAAAGTTGTAGCATTGTAAAACACTGCTCAACTTCCCAGAAAGCGTCTAATGGTCAGACTAAAAAGATGGATCAGTAGATGGACCATCCGCCCCCGGAGGACCTCCAAGCATGTCTTGCCCGGCCGATGCGTCAAAATAAAAGTCCGCCAGAAAGGCCTCGAATTGATCTTCCGTCATTCCAGCCGCCGCTGGTTGTGTCTCTGCGTCATAATTGACAAGGGTATCATGTAAAGGGGGTTTGGTTAACTCGTCAATCTTCGGTTCGAATTGGGTATCGGATAGCTGAGGAAGGCTCTCATCTGTAATGACGGTTCCCAGAGATGGATTACCATAGGCGCTACTGGAGCTCCCGTCGGCTGTCGTTTTGCCCGGAGAGCTTGATGTGTCATAAACGCTGACGAAGCGGTCAATGACCGCGTCCAGCATCCCGTCCTCGGTAGATGAATACACCATCTCCAGGGCTCTTTCCTCGTCTTCAATCGAGTAAGACAGGCCGCGCTTGCCTCTGATGTGATCCGATACGATTTCTTTGCCCTTTGCTCTCCAAAACTCGCGAAGACTCGACATGACCTCGCATACAAGACTGTTGACGTAGGCTGACTTAGGACGGGGTGTTCCACTAAAGACGATGTCCCAGACACTAAACCATTGATCTGCCAGTGTAGATTTCTTGTCCACTTTGGAAGCTAGCAGCTTCTCCTGGTCCTCCGTTATGCCTTCGGGCTCGGCAAAATTTCGCATTCGACACTGCTGAGGTCTGCTGTGCTTCCGCTGCTCGTCCAGCTTGTCGAATTCTTGACCGCAAGTGGAGCAGAAGTGTGGCTGCTTATGCTTGCGGCGCAAATGCTGTTTAACGTCTCTAATTCTCTGCAATTCAAGTTTGAGACAGGCCTGATGTCTAATTTTGTCGTGCTTGTAGTATGGGCATGCCAGGCTCAGGCGCCCCATGCTGACGTCTCTGGTCAACGCAGTTCTCGGCCTTTTGTTACCATCCATCGCTTCGTCCTCATCGTCAGTCTCCTGATCAGAGGCCTTCTTCGGGGCATTTTCTGCTCGTCTTTTTTCCGGCCTGCCAGTCGTGCTGCAATGATATTTTGCGTCTTCCTGTACGGGTGCTTGCTTATAGAGCTGCGCTCGTTTCCATTTACAGAATAAAGAAAATGCTGAGCTGGTCAATGGATCGAGTTCTATGTAGAAAGGATGGCTTGTGGGAAGCATCCCTACTTGTGTTTGGTCCGAGTATAAGCTACTCTTCGTGTCTAGGCTGTCCGTAGAAAGCGGTGTCTCTCCAGATGAACCCTCATTCTTTCGACCGCGTGGCGCCGAAGCAGAAATGTCAACCGAGGGTAGAGAACATGCCTTTGAGAACGTGCGCGGTGCTTCTGGAGTTGGCTTCCGTGAAGTCCCGGTATGCGGAGTGGCGGAATTTATCTTTCCAGACGTGTTACGGAGGATATCCTCACAATTGTGATCGAATCTGAGGTTGAAAAGACGAACACCCTGCATGAAACGCTCGGTCTTCTCCAGCTCACGCTCACGGCCAAAGAGCGTCTCAACAAACTCAACACCAGCGTTCTTACCGAGGGAGGCTCCCTTCTTGTTGGCCTTTAGCATGGGAGCCTCGCATGTCTTGAGAAGCTTGCGGAGTTTATTGATCAGGCGCTCGCCCGATTCAATGAAGTCCTCGATAATCTCCCTGTTATCAGCGCCACGAACACGCTCAATAGTCTCATATGCACGCTTGACTTTTCCTGATAACTGGATGAGAAGAAGCCATAACTCGCTAGCCATATCAGATACCGGAGTACCGGATCCATGGTGGTAAACAGTCCAATCATAAATCCATTTTCCGAGGGAATTGGCGTCAAAAACACTTCCAAGCAGCAGGATTGGGTCTTCTGTAGGGTCCCAGTTCTTGAGAGAATATCCCGGAGGGATTTTATGCCTCTTGGCGTCACCTTCAGTAGCCTGCCGAGCTGAGGGAGGACTTTGGCTTCGGCCTGATGTCGATGTTTCTGAGGGTGATCCACTTTCTTGAACCAAGTAATGAGAACCGATGCTAGTGTTGTAATCCTTGATAAAAGTCGTTCCCAACTGGTATCGTTCCGGAGTATTCAAACAAGACTGTTCTGTCACTCGCAGTATCAGATGCTTGCCAAAAAATGGCTACTTGGGCGGCTTACTGAAAGGCTTAGTGGGTGTGGATTGATCGAGAGCTTGTCCGACGTTTTTCATCTCGACAATTGACTACTAGCATGGGTTGGCTACGTGATCTGGTGCTGCAAAGAACCAGAAAGAGGCATGCGCTGAGTTGAAAACCGAACATTGCAATACTGAGATGTGGTTCATCAGGCAAGGAGAGGAAATTGAGGCCTTTGCTGGGGCAGATTATTGGTCAATTTGTTGCCCCACCTGAGGAGGTTGAGCACAAATGTGCTCTTTCTTCCCCGGAGCTGACAGGCTGAGCGCTTATGTAGGCAACAGGCAACCTCGAAATTATATGGAAATTATAACGATTGGCTAAGTGGACTGGGATGATTAAGCGGGCGCCTAGTGGTTTAGGAGCATACCGCAAGGCTTTAGTCTGATTCAAGTTATTCTGGAGAATTATGAGCATCATTGCAAGACTACAACACCTAAAAGGTACGTTGCCGCTGCGGAATCTCTGCAAGCCAAGGATGGCAAGGCTGCAAAGATCAAAAGTAGACAACACAGTAACTATACAAGTCGATATTGCCAATCGGCTGCTGCTGGACCTCGCTTTCGCCAAGGGAGGGCAAAGCCAATGGGGGCTCCTCTGCATCCATTGCCTAAAGCTTTGAGGCATGTAACAGGTAGTGGCGATCTCCATCCACACATAACGCTATGTCACAATACCAAGCCTGATACGAAGTATAGGAGAAAAGTTTACTACTTATGTATTGAATGTCATGCGGAGTAAAAGTGGCTTTGAAAGTGGGAATTTGAGGGCTTGGTGAAAATGAGGTTCAGCGGCAGTCGATGGGATTGCAAACTTCTGTTTGTTAACAGTTCCATAATATATATCGTTAAGCCTGCCATCCTGAGCCTACTCACCCTGGCTCGCTCAGGTCGCACGACCGTAAAGGCAACGGGCAATTGGACTACGCTTGAGTTAGATACTGGCGTAATACACGCAGTTCAGCAAGTTCAAATCAAATATGCATGATCGCTAAGCTCAGTGGCACGGCTTTGAGAACACTCACAAGGGAAATTAATGGATAACATTCAATTTAAGTCGTCAAGTATGGAAATAAAATCAGTTTGTAGAATAGAATATTCAGGATTGACCCTTCAAGGTCGCGGATAAATAAAAATCATTTTCTTAGACAATTAGCTATCGTTTCTTTCGTAGTTGTGCTCCCATATAAGTCGCCGGCTATATTTCAATGTTCCAAACCTTCCACAGCTATCCAAAGCCATTTTCAAGTTTCATAACAACCTGGAAGTTAAAAAAATGTTCCGAATAATAACTGAATTGGTCACCAGCGTTTCCCTGTGCGCGAAGAAACCAGTTATTCTTCCCCGCAGGGGTGAAGCATTCTTTTCCAAAACCTGCTTTCCCTTGCTGACTCATTTTCGGGCGTCATCACATCACCTTGAAAGGTTTAAATGCCGCCGAGACTCCCCATAAATTTAAGCTTAGACGAACTCGCCGCTTCCTTGGCAGCGAGTGAGTGGCCGGTGAACACCCTCCTTCTCGCAGTTGGTGATGGCTCCCTTGACCCATTTGACTCCATTATAGCTACCTTCCTCATAGACATCGCTCATAAAAGCTCCAACCTGTGTTTGTCTGCCGAGACAACCACGCATGATCTTGCCATATCTTCTAGTCTTGAAGGGGTTATTCACCATGCAGCCAGTATGGCCAGCACTAATAGTTCCCCTGACCATAATGGCTGAGGCGGTAGCCCAAGACCTGGAGACAGCGACGCCTAGTGTGGAAGTAAGGTAACTTTGGATAATAGTAGGGTTGAAACCACCGTTAATAGTAATAGTGTCTGTAACTGTGTAGGTCTCTGTGAGACTGATAGTGACTTCTTTAGCTTGGGCAATCACTACAGGGCTCATTTGGAGGTCCCAATCGTAGAACTGCTCGGTTTTGGTGATGGTAATAGCGTGAATGTCGTCGCAATCGATCTGACGAGAGTCTAGATTGTTGACTTCCTCCTCTGAAGGAGTCTTGAAACTCAGAAGTGAGTGATCAACTTCAGGGACTGAAGCAAGAATTTTCTCAGATGCCAGCATGGCAAAATAGGCTTCCTGGTTGACAACCTCCACTGCGCCAAACGAGTTATTAAAATGCACTAAAAGAAGTATGTGACATATGGTTCACCACAAAGAACACTGCCGAAAGAACACATCATAATTATTGTGACAGGCGAATGGCTTGGTGTTCATATTCATTTGAGGATGTGGAGACAATGAAGCAGACTATGACGGAATATTTTACTCACTGTGATCTCCATCGACAAGAAGAACCTCGCCATTGAGTAGGCCGCGCTCTGGGTCAAATGCGGTGCCGTTCATAGCCCTCGGGGTAAACACCGGGGACGCAACAACAACCGCGGCGAGGCAAAGCATGACGAATCTGAAGGCCATTTTGACGAAGAGAGAGGTTCAAGCGATTAGGGTTAGGGTTAGGGTTAGGGTTAGGGTTAGGGTTAGGGTTAGGGTTAGGGTTAGGGTTAGGGTTAGGGTTAGGGTTAGGGTTAGGGTTAGGGTTAGGGTTAGGGTTAG